GTGATGAAGCCAGATAAGGACTGGGCGACATTACATCATAAGAAGCAGACAATCAGCTTTCTACTACATTACTTCACCCACACTACTGCACCACAATTGGCCACACCCAGAAGACCCCTAAGACACCACTGGTCACACCCAAACATCAGCATCTGGATGGTGACACCCAAAAAGATGAGCCTCTGATTGCTAACACCTTGGGACACACTCAATGCCCACCTACTCTAGAAGGGAGATAAAAAGGCAAGCCTCACAACTACTCTTGATCCCCTTGGTACCATGACAGAGTGGACAGGCAGAAGAGGCAGTGAGAGAGAGAGACAGAGAGAAAGGTCTTCCTTTTTTCTGTTGGTTCACTTTCCAATGGCCACTGCAGCCGGTGCACCACGCTGATCCCTAGCCAGGAGTCAAGTTCCTCCCATGATTTCCCATGCAGGTGCAGGAACCAAGGACTTGGGCCATCCTCCCCTGCACTCCTGGGTCACAGCTGAGAGCTGGACTGGAAGAGGAGCCACCGGGACCGATTCTGGTGCCCCAACCGGGACTAGAACCCAGTGTGCCAGCACCACAGCTGGAGGATTCACACTTGTTCCTGTTGCTGGATAGTGTAGAGATTGCCTTACCCCTAGATGTGTGTTATGACCTGTGGACTAATGGTACACTGAGTGCTACTGGCCTGTAAATGTGTGCACTGAATATATATTATGGAGCATATTGAACAATACGTCCTATTGAAAAGACTGTCATGATTCTGTGCGATTCTTCCCCATGCTCTGACACATTGCATTAGGCTTGTCGAGCTGGGTGACCTGTGGCACTCGTGACACTGTCTCAGAGCCTAGTGGAAAAAAGCAATCTCATGTATGATCTTCATAGCAGTGAATCACATCCTGTAAGTGGTCCTCTGACTTGTTCATTTAAGAGGTAGACACAGACACACAGAGAGCTCCCCAAATGCCTGCATGGCCGGCATCCCATAGGGGCTCCAGCTGGAGACCCGGCTGCTCCACCTCCGATCCAGCTCTCTGCTATGGCCAGGGAAAGCAGTGGAAGATGGCCCAAGTCTTTGGGCCCCTGCACTCAGGTTGGAGATACAGAAGAAGCTTCTGATTCCTGGCTTTGGATCAGCACAGCTAGGTCACTGTGTCCAATTGAGTAGTGAACCAGATGATGGAAGACCTCTCTCTCTCTCTCTCTCTGTCTCTCCTTCACTCTTTGTGTAACTCTGATTTTCAAAAATTTGTAGAAGGTGAATTACAAATTAATTTTATTCTTGGGCCAAAATTTTACTGAAATCTATGCTTATGCAGAATCTTCAAAAGCTCATTGCAAAATGTGTTATGAAAATCATGCATGTATTTCAGAATTTGTTGCACCAGACTTATCTTGTAACTCTTTTGCAGTGAACACTTTTAAGGTACTCTCATATGGCTAAGAGCAAATCAATTTTAAATTACATGGAATGCATTTTTTTGAGTCACTATTTTAGTTACATTTTCAGGAAAATATCCAGGGGTATGTATTAAAAAAAAGTTTGATTTTATTGAGAACTTACAGTTTTAACATGCTCAATGAGGTCATTTGTTACCATAGTCAGATATAACTAGTACACTCCATGAGCCATTAATTTCCATTTTCAGAACCATCCAGATAACATCCATGTTTAAAAAAAAAAAAAAACAGTAAATTCAGGTTCAGTGTAATGATGCTGTGAATAAGTGTATCATCTGTACTTGCCACCATCCCATGTTGGAATCCAGCTCTCGGCTAATGCACCTGGGGAAGTAAATGGCCCACCTGCTTGGGCCCCTGCTGACTAGCTGAGAGACCAGGATGACTTGCAGGTTCCATCTTTGGCCTGGACCAACACCAGCCATTGTAGCCACTTGGGGAATGAACCAGCAGTTGGCAAATGTTCTCTCCTCTCCCACCAAAATCTCAGCCTTTCCAGTAAATAAGCAAATAAAAATGCTTTGAAAACAATAAGGAGGTGGGCCTGTGAGCAGTGGGTTAAGACATGTGCAGCACCAGCCTCCCATAGAAATAGTTTCACCCCATTGCAAAGTCCTAGCACCCAGCTTCAGCCTGGCCTAGCCCTGCACTTTGAGGTCACCTGGAGAATAAACCAGTGATAGCAGCTTCAGTCCTCTGAAACATGAAATTCCCATTACTCTGAACAAATTGCTTATTTTCTCTGCAAGGCTCTGGAAACAGGTCTGTGTTGCGGTCCAGAAGACTAAATCAGGGCAATCCTACAAGATCCAGGTCACCATAGGAAGAAAGAACAACTAGAGAGTTATCTCTAAAAACAGAAAAAGTTTGAGACCGTTCTCAAAGACTTATTTTAATCAGGGGCAGCCTCGCATGCTGTTCAAGCAGTCACTGCATTTTGCAGGGTTGATCAGGGCACTCGTTCCACTCAGCAACTTCAGATGTGTTTCTTTCTCGTACAATTCTTCCTATTCTACCTGCTATCTTGACTTCAAGTGGCTCAGACTGTCACGTTTGAATCAGGGAGGCAACACATTTTCAACCAAAGCCATTGATGAGCTCTTTTATAAAAATCTCTTCTATAAATACCCAAGTACAGTGAATCCCTCAGGAATGACCCTAGGAACGCTGAGGGGCCCCATCCCTCAGGGTTTCCCAGGTCTCAGGTTCGGGCCCAGGGTGCTTTCCCGTGGACCTCAGATGGACTAAGCAGGAAGGCCGTGGCATTTCTGGAAAGATGGACCCGTGTGGAGGAGCTGCCATCCCAGGAGCCAGGTGCTTGTCCTAAGAGCGGGAGGCTTGGCTTCAGGTGCAGCACAGTAAACGGCCCAGTGCCCAGGGCGCAGTGCGTGGACGGAAGCTCTCGTGCTTCTCAACACTGTCAGGGCCGTTTCCCAGGGCACTAGGGACAGGAGGGATGGCCACGGAGACGCCAGGAGCACGCGCACGGGCAGAAGGAGAGCCTCCAGCAGGTTCCCAGCCCGCTCACGGCCTCGCCAGTCCTCATGACTTCCCGTTACCTTCGGGCTTGCTCACCGTGAGTGCGCATGCCTATGAGCAGGGCCAGACATTGGCAGGCTCCAGTTACCTTTCAACATCTCCCAGCACGCCTTGCGGGGATTCCGGCCCTGAGGAACTGGGTGCTAAAAGACTGTGTCGCCAAAAGCGGCGGCGTCAAGGTCTGCTACTTGCAAGGTAATGGCTGCCCAGACACTCATGGCCCCGAGCTGTGTGGATGCCCGAGCTTGAGGGGCTCCGATACCGCAGGGGCCCTGCAGCGGCTTCCACAGGTGCTTCTCTCACAATGACCAGGGCAGAGGCCGGGAAGACTCCCTCAGGTTTAGAAAACCCTCTTGTGGGTGTGCAGGTAGCGCGGGTTGTTGAAAAGGAGTGCCGTTCTCAGCTGTGCCTGAAGGACTGTGGAATCCTCTGAACATGAGGAAACATGAACAGGATTCGTGTTCCGTTCGAACGCACAGGTCGCTGATGTGTGCGACCTGCCTCATTTTAATAACAAGCTTTGGATCCTAGAGGGGTGTGATGTCACGTTTCCCTTAGCAGCCTAGGTTGCAGTAAATACAAGATTTTGGCAAAAATCAATGAAAGCACTACGTGAGATTCAGCTGTGTGCATGAAATATAGGATGCTATGTGTGTGTCTCTCTTTTTTGAAAAGGAAATTGGGCTGAAGTGATATAAAAATCAAAACACCTTTAAACTTAGCAATACATTTATTGATAATAAACCATAGTTTTACAATCACTTTCAATAACAAAATGCAGTGTTCCTTACAATTGAGGCTACTCTGTGGCTTACTTGTGATCAAATAGTAGAAACGCATGAATAATTTATCATGTGTCTCTCATTATTTACATACTTTACATAATGTATTTAATCTTCTCAGTAACTCTGATCCTGGATGTATTGTGGATGTCTCCTTTACAGATGAGCTGAGATACTTTATCACAGTGGAAGTCAGTGTCCAATCACCTTCAGAAAGTGTGCAGTTTCAATGAGGTCAGTGTTCAATCAACTTCACAAAGTGTGCAGTTTCCTTTTCTAATACCTGGGAACCATTCATAGCATGTGAGCATGCACTGTGGAGGGATTTGAATGAATTCATCAATAAAACCTAATTCCTTCAGGAAAGACAGTTTTTCCCAGTGAGTCAAAGCCAAGAATTTCCCACTAAAACTCTTCCTCAACAATGTAAGGATCTGGGAGGGTACTTTTAAAAAATAGACCTTTAAGAACCACATATGGGCCCTTTGACAGCTAGCTACACAAGGGCTAGTCTTTTCTTCACACAGACAGGTGGATTTCACAGCTTTCTAGTGACAGTAGAGGCTCATATAATTTCCTCATGTTCAGTTAGTTTCTCACATAATGAGATCCAATTTACAAAAGCCTGTTCAGGACAGTTTCCTAATCCCATTTCAAGCAGCTCCATCTCACACCATTAAATAGGTGGTGTCTTGTGTTGATCCCCAGTATTGTGTTAAGCTCCACCATTTGATCCTGTATCACAGCACTGAGTCTCAAAAGCAGACCTGCTCCCTGATGCTTCCCCCACCTAAGGCTCTCAGTCACTTCCCAGTCCTGAAGACCTGAGGCCATCCTCTCTGACCCAGAGTCAGGGTGGGGGTGGGAGTCTTATAGGCAGCCTTTAGACACATCAAGGCCAGTCTTGGCAGGTGGAGTCTTGGCAGGGAGAAGAAAGTCACATCCTCCCATCCTGAAGGAGGATGATAATCAAGAACGCTCTGTGAAAATTAGCTGTGCCATCAGAGGCCCCAAAAAGTTGCTTACATATGTTGTTATCTTTGTGCTTCCATTTGCTTCGTTGTGCTGGTTATGCATAAATACCACCGAGCCATTGGAAGAAACGAGCCTTGATCAGCCTTGTTGTCTTGGCTCCATTCTCTGCCATCTCTTGTCCCTCTTTTCAGTCCCTCCCCCTCCCTTAGGTTCTGTTCCACTGGTGTGGCTGGCCCGCACAAGTTCTCCCTTTCAGTCACTGTCATCAGAGGAGGAAGAGACCAGAAGATCCTCATAGAGGACACTCCTTGTGACCTGGGGACCCTGCCTCTCAGACTCCTTTAAGACATGAGTGTTCTGATGAGCAGTGGTAGACTTCCCTGGATTGGATGCGGGAGGGGTTCTGGACCTGGCACTGTCCTGTTTCTTGGGGCCGATTCTCTGTGTCGTGTCTGGAACACGACTGGACACTCGAGGTTGGAAGATTGGGAAGTTCTGGCCTGAGCTTGAGCAACGTGAGTTAGATGGAGGCTGAGGGTCAGAAATTGGCTTCAGGACTGGCGTCTTTGTGGACCCTTGGGGTGCCCGAGAGTGTGCAGGTCCACTTGTACTGGAGAGAGGTTGGGAAACCAGGAGTCTTGACTTCTTGGGGCGGTTCTGGCTGGTCTGGATGGAGTCTTGGGCAGACCTCTTGCCTGGAGCCTGGGTGCTGAGTTTGGAGTTCTGGACACAATTTTCTGTGACAGGCTGTGGAGGCAACTTTGAATCCCCCTCCGCAACTTTGATCTGCGCCTGTGGATTAGACCTGTGACCCAGGGTAGGTGTCTTCCTGGCAGGTTGAAGAGTGTCACGAGAGGAAACATCAGGCCCTTTGGCTGTTGGCTTGGCACTGCCAGCTGGGCCTGGGGTGAATTTCTTTAGAACATGGTGAGGGGAGTCAGCAAAGTTGACCCCAGATCCTTGGGCTGGGCCGTCAGTGCTCAGCTGAGGTGTTTTGTTTGGAGCCTCGGTAGCGCAGCGTGATCTATAAGGTGTCTCACTAGGCAGTGGACATGGCAGTGCAGAGCCGAGGGGTGACTTCCTCTTGGATGTTTGCACAGGCAACGGTCTAGTAGGATGCTGTGGCAAGAAAGTTCACATTAGACCCCTCAGATGGATGAAGAACTCACATAGTCAACCATACAAAAATGGAAAATCAGCATGTTAGTAACAAAAAAGAATATTGATTTCTAATATTAATAGGAAGAGAAAGTAGCACATACAGGTAGCACATACAAGATTGCATCTAAATCAGGACCACAAAAGGGGACGAGGCAGCCAATATAAAGAGACAGTACATGTGAAATTAAATTTCACAGAACTAAATATTGAAATCATCCAGTCACATCTTCAGAGATTGTCTACTCAGGTTAGTGAGGGCAAAAGAATACGACATCAGTGTGATTCTTGTGTGTGGCAGATAGGACAAGACTATCATTACCTTGTCTGTTGTTAAGGTCAAGGGAGTGGCTGCACTGTGGAATGTGGTGCTGGGATGAGAACGACTGACCACATTCCAGTTATCGATCCATGTGTTGCACAGAGAGTGTTGTGAAACTTAAATAGGAAGCGAATTCTAGGAAGCTGTATCTGACTTTGAAAATGTTTCCTACAGGTTTTAAAGGTTGATTGCATGTTGGAGGTTGCTGATGGAGCACCATCATATTGTTAAGGGGCAGTTAAATGCAGAAGACAACTACCCTGTGATGAGCTTTGAAAACTCTCTTGGGCCAGTGCTGTGGCATAGTGGGTAAAGCCACCGCCAGCAGTCCCAGCAAGCCATATGGGCACCGGTTCACATCCAGGCTGCTCCACTTCAGATGCAGCTCTCTCCTATGACCTGGAAAAGCAGTGGAAGATGGCCCAAGTCCTTGGGTCCCTGTACCCACGTGGGAGAAAGGAAAGAACCTCCTGGCACCTGCCTTCAGATTGCACAGCTTGTGGTTACAGCCATCTGGGGAGTGAACCAGTGGATGGAAGAACTCCCTCCCACACCTCTCTTTATCTCTGTACCTCTGCCCCTCTGTGACTCTGCCTTTCAAATAAATTAAAAAATCTTAAAAAGAACACACATGTCAACTACCTAATCCTTTCTTTATCCAATATGGAGAGTGTAAATGAGAAACATCTTTTGGAAAGGAAACGTGGGATTAATAAAAGTGTAAAAGATGCCTTGGATGGATACAAGACAGCACATGATCAAATCATTCATGGATGCATCAACATGCCTCCACTAGCATTCACTGGCCAACTTGCAAATAGTGACATAAAAATTCAAATAAAGCAACTGGAACATGGGATACAGACAAATAAAACAGGATTCTGTGGGCCAGCCTTGGTTTTAATATGATTCCCACATAGAAGGGCATAGAATGAAGCAAATAAAAGGACGCAGAGAAAAAATCACACTGCAGAAGCGGGAGTAGGACTCACCCTCAGATAGGCACATGGTTCTGTTGCTGCCTCAGAGTTCTTCGGCTCCTTCTGTGGCCTCCCCTGTGTTGCCTGTGGTCCAGCTTTCCTCTGCTGCCCTTCATGCCTGCAGAACAAATCCTGTTATCTGTCTGAGGTACCTTTCCTACCTGTCTCCAAGAGGGACAGCAAACCAAACCAAGAGCACTCCCAGGGCCCCATGCTAGCCCTTGTTTAGGAGTGAGGCAGGCACTGAAGCCCCTGTGAACTTGGCCCCAGCGGTTCAATTCTTGTCTGGGAAGCCCCTCCACCCCCAGGATGTGCTGCGTTCCCTAGTGTGACTTCAGTGTTGTGCACTTTCATTTAGTCTGTGGCTGTTCTGGCTGCCAGGAGCAGCATTCCAAGGTATTCCACAGCCCTTCCCTTTAGTGGTTCTTAGAATAGGATGAGCTCGGTGTGCACCCCTGGAAGGACTGGAGCACTTGTCTGTTTCTCTGCAGTTGTCTGTCTATGCCTAGAGACAGCTCCAGGGAAAGAAGAGGGGGTGGCACAATCTTCTTGGTAGCCAAAGCTCAGGGCTCAGACTGTGCCTGCAGAATCCTTACCTGTGAGTTCCTGCCTCTTGTCTCTCAGTCTTCCTCAAGGATTCTGCAGGCTGAAGTCCGTCAGGTTTCTTGGGTTTCAGGTTCTCCTTCTCCTGATTGCCACCCAAGGCCAGTAAGGGAATGGCCCTGCCCCAGGACTTCATGGGGCACCTCTTGCTTTTGGCCAAGTGCCCAAAGGCTCCACAGTTCTTGCATTTCACCTGTGGGTAGGGGAAGTGGTTATTAGGTGAGCGGGTACCAATCACAGGAAGTTTTCAAAGGTGGATATAAAGAATATTAGGGAAATTAATATTCCTTTGGTGGGAGGTCATAGACTCATGGCTTTTTATTTGCCAAGAAACTCAAGATATTATGATCCTCCCAGAGCCAATTGAATCCAGGGATCCAAGGATGCAGAACTTTCATATCTAAAGGAGATGACAGTGGCTGTTCCTCACAGGCTCTGAATGGGCCCATCAGCCAGGTAAGGAGAAGGCAAACCAGTCCGGCTTGGCTAAGGAGGAATAACTGAAGGATGGACACACAGATTCCCGTGTTTAAACCAACTCCTCATGGACTCCTTTGTTCTCGAAAGCCCCAAGCCTCCGCTTACCTTGCTGTACTCTCCATCTGGTGGGGAAGCCCTCTGGCACACCGATCTTCTCTGTGGCTTATTGTCCTTCAGGGGCCTTCGAGGCTGATGACATACTGAATGGCGTGCCATCTGATTCATAGCCTTGGGCTTCTGATCGGGCTTGCTCTTTAATTGATCATTGGTTTTCCTAGTCCAAAGAAACAAATTTAAAAATTCAAAATGTATGACACAAGCCCCTCATACGTCTATTTCTCCCAGGAGAGATTGGAGGGACTTCCTGAGTACTAACCCGCATCCACCACATCTTGGATCTGTGATAGATGCCCCATTCTGACCTATTTTGTGAACTCGTTGTAGTGTTTACCTACTGCCAAAAAAGGAAACTGCCTAAGAAAAGACCACTTAATTAAAAGGCTTCTAATAGATGGTGATAGTGAATTGGCAACCCTACACAAAAGTATTTTTGGTTCTGAGTTTTGGTCTAGCTTCTCTCTCCAGACTAAAAGCCCCAGCAAAGCCAACAGAAGGGTAGCCAACAACTGGTATTTCAGATCATAAAAACTCTCTATTTTCACAGAGTAACTTCTTACCCACAAAGCCAGCAGAATGCTCTGACAAAGCTTTGATATTTCACCTTGTCAAAACAAAATGAATTCTCTCAAGTTAACTGAGGGCAAAAGTAAGTTAGATGCTGGGTGACATGAGGCAAAGTGAGACAGTCACACGCACTATTCTTGGACATAGAATGAAAATCGATAAGTAAGTGCTTGACCTTTATACAATCCTTGCTTCTGAAAAGCTGAAGTTGACAAATTGATGCGGTCTGTGATCAACCAGTCAAACTGAACAGTTCCCAACAGGGCATGTGCATAAGCCAGTCAGAACTGAGCAAGCTGAAATCCTTCATTTGCATCAGGAGGACTCCATGAGACTCTGAGCAGGACATCTCCCTCAATAGGAGAATTCCTTCCTCTCTTGGGAGAGGTTCTTTGATCTCCAGTGAGGGCTGCATTGCCCTGGCTTGCAAACCCTGTGATTAACAAATCTTGCTAAATTTTTAAAGTCAAGTCCCTGTGAAGTGAGTGTCCTGCAGCCTTGTTCAGGCAGAAATGGAGGGCCCTTGGGGAATCAGGTCCTGGCCCCATGGCTCACTCCCCAAATTTGCTGTACCTGTCCTTTGGGTCATCTGGTCTTTGGGAAGTTGCTTGGGGCTGGTCCACCGTAAGCTGACATTTCCCTTGGGAGACACAGCGGGCTGTGGGATCCTCTCCAGGCTTCAAGGGAAATCGTAACATGGCCTCAACAGAGGCAACAACTACCCACTTCTCCACCATCAAATCGATCTGATAAAGAGAAAAAAGGCATCAAGATTCAACTTTCAGCCTGCAAGCAGGAAGTGACTTTGGGAAAAGAGAAGATAAACTCCCAGTCACTTGAGCATTTTCTTTTTCTTATACAGAAGGCTTTGTGTTTAAGTATGTGTAAGATTTATAATTTATTTGAAAGGCAGAGTTACAGAGATTTAGAGGCAGAGAGAAAGAGAAGCCTTGCATCCACTGATTCACTCCCCAAATGGCCACAATGGCTGGAGCTGGGCCGATTTGAAGCTGGGAGCCATGAGCTTCTTCTGGATCTCCCATGAGGTGCAAAGGGCCAAGGACCTGGGTGATCCGCTGTCCCAAGCCATAGCAGAGAGCTGTGTAGGGAAAGGAGCAGCCAGGAAGAAAGCGGCATTCATATGGGATGCCGGCATGCAGGCAGCGGAACGACCCACCTCACCACAGTGCCAGCCCTTTTCCTTTATGTTTAAAATGCGCCGCCGCTCACTTGGCTAATCCTTCGCCTAGCGGCGCCGGCACACCGGGTTCTAGTCCCGGTCGGGGCACGGATTCTGTCCCGGTTGCCCCTCTTCCAGGGGAGCTCTCTGCTATGGCCAGGGAGTGCAGTGGAGGATGGCCCAGGTGCTTGGGCCCTGCACCCCATGGGAGACCAGGAAAAGCACCTGGCTCCTGGCTCCTGCCATCAGATCAGCGCGGTGCGCCGGCCGCAGCTCGCCAGCCAGGGCGGCCATTGGAGGGTGAACCAACGGCAAAAGGAAGACCTTTATCTCTGTCTCTCTCTCTCACTGTCCACTCTGCCTGTCAAAAATAAAAAATAAGAAAATAAAATGTTTTGATTACCATGTTAGTATTTGTGAGCCTTTTAGGAGGAGCCGGTTTTGAGACACAGAGGTAATCCATATAGGCACCAGTTTGATTCCTAGCTGCTCCATCTCTGACCCTTCTCCTTGCTAGTCTGTTGTGGGAAAGCACCAAAAGATGCCTCAAGTATGTGGACCCCTGCCCCCACATGAGAGACCTGCATGAAGTTCCAGCCTCCTGGCTTCTGATGGCCTTTGCATCTATTTGAGCAGTGAACCAGCAGATGGAATCAACCAATCAGTCTGTGTGTGTGTGTGTGTGTGTATGTTTGTGTGTGTCGGTGTGTCCATCTCTCTGTAGCTCTGCATTTCAAACAAGTAAATCTCCAAGGAAAACCTTTGTGGGGCAACTGCAGTGTTTCAACACATGCTTACAGCAGTGAGCACCTTAAACTTTCGTTATTCCACAGCCAACAGTGAACTTGCTGGTGACCTCCAAATAGTACCAACGGGTGAAGGAACAGGGTCTTGCTTTGTTTCCATTCTCTTCATACTATTTGTTGACTCTTTTACTTAGAGTAGGGCTCACTCTCTGATCACTAAGTTTGCTGACAATAGATCACTGTAAAAAGCAAGAGTGGGTATCTGAGAGGGAGGGTAAGGGGGAAGTGCCACTATGTTCCTAAATCTGTTAGATGAAATGCATGAAACTTTTGTAACTTCAATAAAGTTTCAAAACAGAAAGTGGAGTCTGGGGGAAATGCTGGTGTGAGCTGAAGGGAAGTAAGATCCATAGCAATTGCATATGCCTGTGTTCTCCTAATGTCCTTTGAAATTGGCCAGTGCAATGTACAGAGAGTTTTAAACACTGACTATTACAGCTGATCATGGGAGGAGTACCTGCCTCGGACTGACCCTCAGCTTTGATGCCATCTCATTCCATCTACTTCTCACTTGACCCAGTATCTCCCATACTCACATCTTGTTGTGGGATCCCCCATTGCTTTAACAGCTCCTTCCCCTGTTCCATGGAAAGAGTGTTGGGGTCCATTGTGGATGGTGCTGGCCAAGGGCATCTGCCTCCCTGGGGAAAGAGAAACGGAAGCCACTGGATTCTTATGCCCTGAATTTCAACTAGCTTCTAACAAGGCACTGAGTACATTGAAAGAAAAGATAAGTGAATAACACTCTGTTTGGAAGCCCTCAGTCAAAGGTGCAATGGCCCCTTTACTGCTCACTAGCCACCCCATCTAAATCAGAAAGTTAGGGGGAAATGGTGCCCTTTATCTAATAATGAACATTTCAGAAATATGGTTTGAATCAGGCTCTATCTTGGGAAGTATGAAGCAGTTAATTAATCCTTTCCTCAACTCTTAACACCACCTTCCATGGATTGTCCCCACCCTCCTATTTTTCCTATTTAATACACCAAGGCCCAAAACAATAATGGAAACTCACCTGTGGTCTTTCTCGAGCTCTGAGTTTGTTCAGGTGCAGGCACAGGGGCAATTCAGCTGGAGACAGAAGCTTCCAGCACAACCAGTGGAGACATAGGCTGAGGGGGAGGAGCCCATGTCCTGTAGCTTTATACTGTCCCACAGCCCCAGGATGATCACATGACACACCCTAATCCCCACAACTCAATTACATTGAGAGGATTTTCACCCAGTCCTCTGATCTGGTTCACTACTTTATTGAATGCTACTCCTATAGCACTTTTCATTTCAACGCATACGTGGGCATTTAAACAACACATTGTAGCTTGGTGTTTGCCGTCCCCAACATTTTTAAAAAATTAAGTATGTAACAGTGTGTTTTAACACTATATGAAAGCTCCTAAAAATGTTCATGGGAAGGGCAGGGTTAAGGGAGGAGATGGTCTTGCCCAGCAAGTTAAGCAGATTAAGCTGAAGCCATGTGCATCACTGGTATCCCCTGTTGGAGTCTATGCTGCTCTGCTTCTGAGCAGATCCCTGCTACTGTGCCTCAGAAACTGTTGGAGGAATGGCCCCGGTCAGCCACAGGAGGGACCCAGATGGAATTCATGGTTTGAAGACATTTGGTGAGTGAACCAGTGGATGGAAGATCTCTCCCCCTCCCCCTCTCTCTTTCCTCACCCTCCCTTCCTCCTTCTCAGACTGTTGCTAATCCTTTCACAGGAATAAGCCACTCATGCAAAACTGGATTCAAAGTAAGACTTTCTGGTGCAAAAAAAAAAATGTAATCCATTCATGCTTTCTCACACTGGGCATTATCAATAAGCATTTGAAAGACTCCTCATGTGCATGGAATCAAAAATGATGGTACACTGGCATAAACTTCTCTTGTAATTCAATTTTCATGAACTCTTCAAAGTGTTCTCATTGTTTTAGAGAGAGGCTATGTGCTGACGCTAATTAGAAAATATTAGAGGTCAAAATTATGTTTAATGCACCTACCCTGCTCATCCTCACAGCTTAGCAATGAGGGACACTGGAGAATAACGCTATGAACCCTCGGGATTGTGTGGCTGATGGGTTTCCGGGCTCCCTGCCTGGCACTTCCAGAGACTCTGGTACCAAGGACCACAGTCTGAGAAAAGATCAAACTCCAACCTGGAAATGAGGTTTCTGCTCCATGTGTATCGCTTTTGCACCTTCTTAACTTGCAGAAAATCTCAGTCAAGCTGGTGTTTGTGCCAGGAATACAGGCCAACCCTCCCCCAACTCCACTCCTTGAGCCTGGGGCCACACTGATGTTAGAGTGATGGCTGCAAGCCGTGACCATTTTTAGAACTTGAAAACCCATGTTTCTTTTCTCTGCCTCTGATATCTGTGCCTAGTGAGTTGCTGTTCAGCTACTTTATTTCCTCCCATTCTTATTTGAGTGAAGCCTGGCTCGCTTGTAAAATGAGGACAGGTCAACATGAATGATCTTTGCACACACACATGTGAAGCGTTGTGAATGCTCTCTGGGGTATAGTAAATGTTCCAAAACTTCATGGTTCAGTTTTAAACCCTGTTACTTCTCTAAGAAAATCTGGCAATAATTATTTCCTCAGTCTTTCAGCTCCTTCTCACTGCAAGTGTGACCCATATAGTTCGCTTTAATCCCTTGGAAAATGAGAAGCAGGGATCAGCCTCTTGGTGTCATGGGTTAGGACACTGCTTGAGACACCAACACCCCAAATTAAAGTAGTGATTTGAGTCCTTGCTGCCTCACTTCTGATTCAGCTCCCTGTTAATGAGGCTGGGAAAGCAGCAAAAGATGGCTCAAGTGGTTGGTTTGCTGCCACCCTTGTGGGAGACCAGGATGGAGTTCCTGGCTCCTGCTTTCAGCCTGGTCCAGATCTGCCTGTTGCAGCTCTCAGGCAAATAAACCAGCAGAGGAAAGTTTCTCTGTGTCTGTGTCTTTATGCGTGTGTGTGTGTGACATGTATGCACACACAGAAACACAGTCTTTCAATTAAATACTTTTTAAAAGAAATTTAGGAGCTTTGAATAGCAGGACAATATATTATGTAGATTAGTCTGTTGGGAAACTTAAAGAATTAATCAGAACTTATATTTCTTAAGTGAATATAAAGGCAACAGGGCTTATTACTGAAAACTCAGGAAAAATTAGAGGGCTGTGGGGACCCTCCAGGATTCTCAAATGCAGAAGGCAGGGTCTGATTCTCTAGACAGGTGGAGGATAGACCTGCCAGGCATCTGATGCACAGCATCTCAGAAACACTGGCACTAGGCACCTTGATTCACCACTGTGCTTTCACTTGTATCTTTTGGAAATCCCCCTCATGCACACCTAGTTAATGTGGTGCAGCTCAGTGGGAAGAGGACTAGGAGAGATCTCTCTATCTTGGTATGAGCTGCCAGCACAGCCTAGCATCTAGCAGACACATGGCCTCCTTGCCAGCCCCTCATAACAGGCTGGGCATTTTCTGCTCCCCTCTGTGTGAGCCCTGTTTGTCTCCAGGGTCAATGAAAAGAAAGAGCCTCTGCAAAACACTCTGCAGTCTCTTTCTTTTGTAAAGATTTTTTATTTATTTGAAAGAGTTAAAGGGAGAGAAGGAGAAGCAGAGAGAGACAGAGAGGGAGATCTTCCATCCAATGGTTCTCTCCCCAGGTGGCTGCAATGGCTGGAGCTAAGCTGAACCAAAGCCAGGAGCCGGGAGCTTCTTGATGGTCTCCCACATGGGTGCAGATGTTCAATGACTTGGACCATATTCTGCTGCTTTCCCAAGGCTACTGCAGAGAGCTGGATCACAGTGGAGCAGCCAGCACTGGCCCACCACTGAATTCTCTTGAGGGACATAGCTAGAAGCATTTCGTCATTCTTGGTAATTAGCAAAAAAAAAAAAAAAAAATGATTTGGAAAAAAAAGAGTTCTCAGCTTCCCAGAGCCACATGGTCCTGACCTCTGTTGGTGATATGATGATGGTGGCTCTGAGGGGAGGGAAGTGATTGACTCAAAAACGGGGATCCTGGCATCTGGTTCTCACCCTCCCCATGATGCTGCCTGCTGGAACCTTCATCCTGAGCCCATCGTCCTCCAACAGGGTGAACTGGGGAGACTTTCTTTCTTTTGTGAGAGATTTATTTATTTGAAAGAGCAACATGGATGAGGGCAAGTAAAAGTGAGGGAGATAGAGGAAAAGAGAATGAGAGATTGAGATCCTATACACTGATTCACCCCCCAAGTGGCTGCAACAGCCAGGACTGGATCAGCTCAAACCAGCAGCAAGGAACTCTGTGTCTCCCACATGGGTGCAGAGATCCAAGTCTGTTGCTTTCCCAGGTGCATTTAGTAGGGAGCTGGATTGGAAGCAGAGCAGCTGGGACTCAAACCAGCACCCTGATATGGGAAGCTGCCATCGCAAACCACCTGACAGTAGGCAACTCTGAAGGAATCCTCCAGACAATGATGGCTTTGGGGTTGAGGCCTTTCCTCAGTGATGCTGGATGCAAATTTATTTTCCACATTCACAGGTCAGGCCAGGGTGTGTCCATTGGTACAACCCACCTCTTAAGTATCTTCCAGGCAATCTCCATCAGCCCCATAAGCTCCAGCTGGACAAAGCTTAAAATGCCAGTCCCAAGTAAACTGGTTTCGCTGTTCTCCTCTGTTGGACTCTATATACTGGTAAAAGTCATTTTTCCTACGTGTGTACTGGCAGATGGCCAAACACAAATATCACAATGGCACAGGACATGCAGTACTGTTCTAGGGTAGGCAGTGTTTCTCCATGCAGCCTTGCTGTCACTTTCTCATGTTCTGTGTTTGGGCTTCATGGTTTTCATTCTGTACAAGCACAAGTGGTGAGTCCAACATATCCATAGGAGTCTCTCCCCTAAATCCTTCCCTGTTTCCAGAGCTACCCACAACATCCTTACACCAAACCCTGCATTTTTCAAGTTTGGATTACTCTTCTTGATAATCCCAGGAGTTTGCTGATGAACACTTCACACTTACTCAGTGCCTGTTTCCCAGCTGCCTGCCCCGTTGTTCACATGACTGTGACTCCTGTGTACTCGGCTTTTGCCCTTTCTGAATGAGGATTTCAGAATTTCCTAAATTAATCATGAATATGTAAATTGTCTATGTTTGCCCATTTTTGTTCAGTCATCGATGGATACATCCCTACAGTGCTGAAAGGCTCAATATGCAACAATCATAGTATGGGCGAGTGACGAACAAGACAGAGTGAACTTTGTCCCAATAATCAATAACTCATAAGAGCAGTTGTAAATAAACTATGATGGAAATTATTATGTAAATGTCTATATCATTGCAACTTCATGAATGCCTGTAGTACTGTGGTTTGAATTCTATCCAATAAAAAATTCCATCCTGTAGATTATAGTGGAATTTTTGCATAGTTTTCAATATGGAATATTGAAATGAAAGTTTGCAATATGCAGAAATGAACTCAGCTTGGAATTGTTGAAAAGGAGACAGTAACCATATGTGAGATGACCATTTGAGAAAACAGAGAAAACTTCACTTTTATGAAATTTACTTGAAATGGTGGAGAAATAGCCATTTGGAGGTGAAGAGTTATTAATTCATTCT